TACTCCCTGTGTACATCTTGCATGATATCTGATGAAATAATAAAGGGCATTGCGTTATTATGTTATAGTTGCATTGACCAAACGAAAATCCGCATTGCTAGTCTGTTCTATAGTAGTCTGAGATTATGGTAAAACACTACCATAGTTCATATGGCAATGAGTTATTGACTTGTATTGCTGTTTGAATATGTTATATAAAGGTTTATATTATAATAATGTATACCTTACATGTCTTAGTGTAAGTGATGTACAGTGAAAGATAGAAAACTGCTACTTATTTATCAGCTTTCATTCAAATTCAAATATTTACAGCAAGCACCAGAATACTGATCGTGAAATCACTATCTCCCTACCAATATCCCTTGGAACAATTGCAATATAAGCCCTAATAGTAGTAAAGTTACCAGCAGTGTTTGTGTGATAATAATAATAATAATGTTTTTTGCTTCTTTAGTAATAACATTTCTATCAGTGTACAGCAATAAAGTGTAATATAAAATAAAATATATATTAGTTATGACTTCAGCGCTTACAATCGAAACAATTTGACACTCCTGGACACAACCATTTTAAACAGAGGAATATCATATGCAATATACACTTTGTTTTAAATTTTCCATTTTAATACCCACATAACATGTACATGGGTAAATGGTACCATACATGTTGGCTACATGCTGTTTGAATGGTCTCATCCATATTCAAACCTCATGGCGGCACATGTATCAACATAATAAGTAAGGACGGCAAACTAATCAATCTGAGTACCAGCATGACTGCTCCATCTATTCGATAGACCCATATGTGAGCTTTGCTAAGATATGGTAGGATTCTAGTAATGACGATTACAAGTTTAAGATGACTGATGTATTACAAATAGGATTACAAACTAGAGAAAAAAAACTCAGATTCAAACATGTATGAGTGTACTTCATTTTAGGATGGACTAATTTAAGTTTGAAACATTGTAAAGAAAGGGTACCCTACCGTAGTTCTAAACAGTTGCACATACTATGGAATCAGGTACACTATAAATATTTATAAACTAAAACAACAGTTACACAAATGTATGAGCACATATAGTGAAGAAGTGACTACTGGTACTTCACAAAATAAAGAGTGGCGCATGCTTAGCCATAACAGTTTTTAAATTTGAATGTAACTGATTGTAAATGAACAGTTGGGTTTTTTTAATTTTTATAATTATGTTCACATGTACAATTCAATCATTCTCCACATTCTTACTGTTTCAGTCCATGCTTTCAATGCCTGGTATAATGACGGTCCAACGTTATCAATTTCCAAGGTTTCAGGATGCAGACATCATTACACCGATTATTTCTTCCAGTCTATAATTTGTAATTGCAAATTTTTTGGATGATTGCATTGTATTTTTAATTTAATTTTTTATTTATATAGAAACAATGAAGAAACCTGAAAAAATTTCCCTATCCATGATAGCAAGGAGAAATTTACCACACCTAGAGGTCTCGAGTGGATCACAAGATAAATTGTAAGTAAAAAGTTGTTGACATTTATTTTTATTAGCTGTCTCTTGCTCTGGTCTTGCCCAAAAATTATTCATATACACACAAGATTGTATGAAAGGTCACAATTTTGTTTGGTTTTTTTGGTGGCCTCTATAAAACAACTACAAGTTGATTTATGATAAATAAACACAATGCAAATACCTTGATCTAGGCAGTACTGTGAGGGGACACAAGTCAAACAATGGCATATTTACCGCTGCTTTTATTTGTTAACCACCAGATGCCACAAGGAGACCAGGGTTTTATTACACGAGAAGCCAGGGATTGAGGCACAGTGACTTCAATGAAATTCCATCCTCATAAACGCCCTCCCTTATTTCATCAAATCGTGAATGTTACTAGCTTTGAAAAGTTGAACGGTTTATAATATTGTTGGTGAACCAATAACTATCACTATCAATGGACAGAAATCTTTTGTGAAAAAATTCACGACAGAGTTTTGAACATAGATCATGACTATAGGCTAAACTAAACCATAGCTATATGGGACATTCATTCAATTAGCCTTCAAGGCCTGTATGCAGGTTATGTGCGATTCTAATAATGCCTAAATGTATTATTTGTCTTTTTTAGAATTCAAAGTTTAATGAAGCTGACCCATATTCGATTAGACAGAGAAAATATTGATGAGATTGACAATTTAGAAATGTTAGGACCAGTGACAAACCTCTACTTACAACATGTAAGTGGATATTACGTGCAGCGGGGAACATAATATCATGCATGCATTTACACTGTAAGCATATAGCCTGATTACCTTTCTTCATTTTGTAGATTCTCTACTACAACAGTCTTGAACTGTTGCCTTTTACTCATTAGCCATCTACCGGTAAATTTATTCCAATGATACAAAGAATCTTTTCATTGCTGTAACCAGGCTAAGAAACTTGTATAATGTTACACAAGGGATTAAAATTACATTGCTACCACATCTTTTCATACGTATGTTATAATTTCATGTTTTTCGTAAGATTGCCTGTGCCAAGGCATCAACCAAAGCATAAACAACATGAGAAATCAAATGGTCATGCTATTTTGTGCCCATATTTTCTCATTAGCACATATGAAAATCATAATGTTGAGAAAAACAAAACAGCAACATTGACAGCTAAGTTGCACACTGGTTTGTTATACGTGTCTCAAGATCATTACATGATTCAAACCACTGTATGAATGTGCATCTTTTGGCTGAATGTACCCATTTATAAGCATTAAACACACCATCAACTGTGTGTAACAATTTCATATACTGTATTAGTACATGATACAAATTTATACGATTGAATGATATAAATTGAAAGGCAATCACGTCATGATCTTCTGTTTATATTTAATGTGTCCGAGTTTGACATCTCCTTCTGAGGTTGGTTTGACCATGGACATACTACTTGTTAGTACATCCATGGTTTGACCCAACCTGTGTAACCAGGCATGCATAGCAAACAAGTCAGTAACTTAGCTAGCAATGCTGCTGTTTTGGTGTTCGGAACAATATGGCAGTGACAGTAAGCTGTATTTTGGTTGTGCTTTATAGAGGAGTAGTGAAACCTTGCAATACCCATAATATATTGGTCAAATGAGTTAAGATTATGGCGCCACCTAGTGTTGACATTGGTAAATTTTTGATGGTACATATAGACTGTGTGAAATAAATTAATTGTGAATATATTATTTTTATTTTTACAGAATATAATATCCAGGATTGAAAATTTGGAGTCCTTACACCAATTGAGGTTTTTGACGTTGGCGGCCAATAATATTTCAAGAATTGAAAACTTGAATGTTGTGGCAGAGCTTAAGCTTCTAGACCTTTCAGAAAATGCTATCGAAGACTTTGATCCAGGTGTGATGTTATCACTAGTTTCTGAAAACATTAACTACTGCTTTACCTACAATGTCTGAATTAAATTTGTAGAGTTCTCATTATTTCCAACATTAGTGTACACTTAGATGGCAGGCAGTGCACATACATGTAGTATCAATTTAATTTGTCTTGTTTTTTTCTATTTTGAATTTGACAATCAAATTTTCATATTTCTTCAAAATATTGACAAATATAGGGTCCAATAATAATTTTGCCAAGACATGGGGGCAATAATGAACCAATGTATCATAGTTTAGTTTTAAAACAATCCAGTATATGAAAGAAAAAAATGAAAAAAAATCCATGATGTTGATGCAGTGTTCCCTCCTTTTCCCATTTGGCGAGTGGCAAAAATTCCGAATCGTTTACTCAATTCTACAATTTGTGCTTCTAAGTCGTTCTTAATTTTGATTAATCACAGATGGATTATTGATACTATGATATACATTTATCAGTCATCTCAAACATAGCTTTTACACTTATTTAATTTCTTTTCATTTTACATTGACAGCGGAGCTACCTCAGAAGCTGATCATACTCAATTTAAAAGACAATCCATGTACAAAGTTACCTGGATACAGGTGAGGATCACTTAAAACTGTGTTTGTTTTATTAGAAGCATTTATTGTATGCCATAGATACACCTCTATTATTTGCATATTGAAGTGAATATGTTACTAATAGCCAAAATGTGGGTTTCCACATGTAAACATAGTATAACTATTGTAGTTTTTCTTGTGGTTAAACTACTGTACCTATCTCATAATGAATACTTGAATTAATGCATAGGCAATTTCCTGAATATGTTATAGTGTAAGTGCACTTTTGAATCATGACAACATTACTTTTTCATTGTTATTGTATTAAAAATTTTTGTTTGAAACTGTAAGATGAATACAGGTACATCATTACTGCCCATTTCCTGTGCAATCAAGGAAAAAAACAAAAGTATAGAAGAATAAAATTACCGGTACATTAAATCTGTACTAGAAGTGGCATCCATTCCTTTTGAACAATTGAGAACCAAAATTTCACCTATTCTCATATGTGCAGTTGCTCTAATAGAAGCTGCATTGCTTCTGTTGCATTCTACCATTTTAATAAAAACCGTGGATTTTACAGTAGTATATTTTTTAACCTAGACATAGTTTCAAAACATATGACTGACGAAGTAATGAATACACATCTGGTACCCTGGTCATGTTCTATGCTCCTTTGCGAGTCTGCTTGATTATTTCTTCTTACGTTTTCTGATAAATTTTTTATCATATTTTATTTTACTACAGAAAATTACTTTTACATTTGCGCTTGCCTTATATTTTCACAGAGTCAAAGTTATCCAGCATTTAGCTAATTTGAAACAACTTGACAACGTGAATGTGACAAAGTATGAACGAAGAGATGCAGGATGTGTTGTATCTGACAGTGAAGAGGAGGAAGAGGAAGAAGAAGATGAGGATGAGGAGGGAGAAGACGATGACAGTGATGAAGGCGTCATAGCAGATGGTGGTGACTGGGGTGAAATCTTAGATCAAGGAAAACATTTAAAAAACAGAGCACTTGATAATATTGAAGGTAATCCATAAATAAGATATTAGTATTCTTCAAAGTAGAGGTGTCGAAAATCTTGCTTGAATACCTGACTCTCTGGCGTACAGAATTTAAATAAAAAACATTGATTTGAAACTCCTTTTTTTCTGGGCCTTACAAAAAGAGTGCATTATAGTAGTAAGTAATTGTCATACTAGTATGAATGGGAAAGAGTTCTTTTTGTATGCCCTATCTTAACACTAACACTACACTTAACCCTACCCTCCAATGGACGCTTCCCAATTTAAAAATTATATGACCCTCCTAAGGACACCTATCTAGAGGGGCATATACAATTGAATTTGGGGTATGTGTTAGAGTTTGGATTAGGGGTGGGGTACAATAAGAAATCTTTCCTATGGCAGTTACAATAAAACACTTTAAAAAAATCAATGCCATTTTATGATTAATTTAACTCAATACATGAATTATTTAAACAAAATCTTAATATTTATCTGAAAACTGAAATAATATTTACTATAAAGACACATTTTACGGGAATTTCTTTTTTTAACAGATGTGTTCAATATATCAACACGACTGATCCAGCAATCTCGGCAACGTCTTCAAAAATACATGAAAGATCATGCAAGTAGAGAAGATGAACTAGACGATGTGCGAACACAGTCCAGACTTGCTGATGAAAAGATGACTGCGAGAGAGAATGAATTCAGACTTAGTGTTGGGTCTACACCAACACCCAGGTAGCCTGCCAGGCATATGTTGTGGAAAAAAACATGTTGATTCTGGATGTCTCTAAAATTAATGGTTCACTCAAGTAAAATGAAAACTGTGTACAAGCCAGAAAAACCAAGTAGAGTCAGTCTGTCCAGCTATCTGTCCGTCCAACCTGTTAAACTTTCGATTGAGACTGCTCTATCACAAGACCTTGGAACTATTAAAGTATTAACCTTGAGGGCAAGTTTTCTGGTGCAAAGATTCTCATAAATAATATGGGTTTTTCCATCAGTGGAGCATCATGTTATATCATATAGCCAAGACTTGATTGGCATTTCAGGTATACTTCATTTGTATGGCCCCAAAATGTCATGAACTAAAAAACATGCGAATGTCTATCGTACATTTATGTACATTTCTCAAAATAACTAACATGTGAAATGCTGAACTATAAAAGGAATTCACCTTTTCACATTTAGAATATGATTTCTTGTCTGTCAATGTGCACTGGACTACAAGTAGTTTGCTCTTCTATATATATTTTCGACTTTCCATACAATATAAAAAAAAGGACCACAAGCTCGGTCTTGCAGTGTATTTCACCTAAGACACACATATTAAATATTAAAAGTACATTTTCCGACTGGCAAAAGCCACATATTTCTTGTACAAGTTTTCAGATGAGCTGCTATCAGAATACAAATATTCAGATGTCAGGCCATGTGGACCAATGAACAACAAGAGTATTCAAATGTTGTTTTGTACTATAACACTTTAGACTTCGTCAGGTCTGCATATTGGCTTTTACTGTATTTTCTATAAAGATTATACCGGTATATTCTCTGTGAATAAAGGAGTTTTCAAAAAGCTTTGGTTTCTGATTTGCAGTTTTCATCTCCCTTCCATAGAACATTGCCAGCAGTAGTTTCGACTTGGCACTTTAAATACTAAAATTCTTGGATACCACTATTTTCAAATGGTTGATAGATTTGGATTCAAAATTAAGCCAGATTTTGAGCAAAAGAATTTAATATAAATGGTGAATTATCTTGAGGCTTTGTCTAATTTTATGTGTCAATTCAGATTATAGTGTATTAGATGTCTGGTATCTTTTTTTTTTCTACTGTCCTATCATGTGATTGATTTCACCAAAATGACTTTGATTGTATAATACTTTATTTTTGCTATTTTCGTTGAAGGAATGATTCAGTGAAAATAAAATCCAGCTAATATACATTTTATATTTTACATTAAACTTGTTAAAAATCAGTGAAAATGAATTCCATACAAAACGCCCAAACAGCAAAAATTAATTCCAGCTAAAATATTTTACAGTATGTGACATTAGCCACCTGTTGGGTCACTTTGTTGTACAATTGTGTCTAAATCAATATTTTGTTTATTTTAAACAAAAAATTGTTCAAAATCACAGCTATTGCAGTTTTAATCAAAAATATACAAATTCGTTTCAATTTGAGCAGGAATTGCTATTAATATTCAACACAAGTTGATCAGTTTATTTCAGCACTTTAGGAATGGTCTCAGATTGCCACACAATAGACTGTACGAGAAATTGTATCTGTAGCCATGATCAAACCCAGTGTAGATAGAAATTTTGAATACCATACAGAAAAAAAATATACTCAGATGAAAAAGTGTATTTATCAACTTTTATTAATTTGGCAATGAGTTTGCCCCCAAATCTTGTCAAAACAACAGTTCTTTAACTACAGAATTACAACAGTTCATTTGTTCTACTGGTTGATAACAAAATTTTCAGATTATAAACCTTGTGTTGTACATGTTCAGTTTTCACATAAAAATGATGACTGTCTTCCTTGTTCTGCCACCAGGTGGTGCTATAACCTATTACTGCATCACTTGAAAGAGCACTCTCATACAAAATATACTGTGTTTAATTTGTAATAGCCAATTTAGCACCCTGTATTTAAATGTGGATTTAAATAAAGATTTTATTATAGAGCAAATTTTTTTTTTTTTAAACAGCAGACATGTACACAAGGTTGAATTGTAAAGTTTTACAGTGTAAATGCATCATGACGATCACATGAAATTCAGGGATATCATCTGTATAAATACAAATCTCCAAGGAAGTGCAATTAATTGCAATATTATGGTAGAATTGGTGACCATGGTGAAGTCGTACCGAGCATCATTGTTCCATGCCTTAAACTAAGCTCAACCCCCCAAGATATATGTCCCATTATCTTAAACATCTTGACTATCAAAATGCACATATTTTCAAAACAGTCCAGGGGGCAATTGGATTCTATAACGAATTCATATCAGCACATAAACACACACAGATATGATGATACAGTGCTTCCAATGTAATACACTCAAAGTCTTGCAGTTGAGTGGCAGCATATATACAAGGCAGAAATTGATACGTTGAAAAAAAATGAACAAGCTGCTTTGATTGGTCTGACAATCTTGTAAGTGGATTCGCATTGACTGGAGTCTTGAGGTCACATCAAATACCACTTGCGGCAACCACAGATATGAACAATTCATTTAAGCCTTACCTTCTTCAATTTAACCAATCTAGTCAATAAACCACGCAACATTACACTCTCCTTTTATATATTTTTTAAATGCCCCTAACTTTAAAATAGTTGATTTTAATTGATACCATCAATTTGAAAGTTATAACATTTCATTAGCACTGAATATCTATTCTTGCAAATATGGATATTAAATATCTACGCTTTTATTGACGGATTATTATTTTGATTGTCATGGGCCAGAAATGACAAACTGTAATAAAACTGACAAAAAGAAAAAAAAAAGAGACAAGAAACATTACACTGGTAATGTACATGTAATGTATTGGTCAGTAAAAGTGATTTCTGATTTTAAATGATAATAACTCATTGGTGTCTTTCAGTTCCCGAAATAATTAATAATCAAATTCTGATCAATATAGATACAACATTATAAGAATATTTTACACAGAAAACAGTGACATGCTGTTTTTCAGCGCATACTGAAAGTTTTATGGTAAACTCACAAATACAAATGTTAGCTGTACAGAAAAGAACTGTTAAACATTTTTGAAAATTGCATTTTGTTATCTAAAAGATTTGTAAATATGCTAACTTGTGGAAGACACACACACACACACACACAAAAAATGCGAGTTGGGGATGGGAGGGGGGGGTATGTTGGTATAGCTACATGTAGGTTCTGGAACAATGCATCAAATATTAATTTGTTATTATGTAAAACAACTTTATTCTTGCAAAAGACAACGTCACAAGATTTCATTGCACTCCTTGAATCACAGTTACTTTCCTCGCAGCCACTGTCAAATTGCAAAAAAGCAGATTTCGAGCAGTAACACTTTAATATGGGAGAGTTTCACATCACCTTATCTGAAACTACTCCAATCACCTCAAAAGTAAAGAGAATTTACACACTTCCTCAACCAGAGAACATGGTCTACCATTCAAAAAGATATAGCATACTTGCTATCAGCGCTAAACCAACACAAAAAATATGATGGTATGCTGCTACATACAATCCTAATGGTTTGTGTCACATATGCATGCTGTGTTGTTCTTAAGAACACAGTGTACGACATGCATTAGAACTGGAAATGCAAAACAATGAATACAAGGTTTATCCACACACCACCAAACAATGCCCACCCTAAGGTATTTTTTGGGACCCAAGAAATAGAATGTTTCATCATAAAATCGTGTACAGTGAATATACACCCCCACACCAGATATTGTACATGTTTTAATCATTTCAAATATTGCTTTAAAACTGTAAGTACCAGATTCCACAAAATTGTTGTTAGTTTTTAGTGAAAAAAAGTACAATCAAAACAAACTACAAAATTATCATTTTATAAAATGCATCTTTAACCAAAACAAAAAAACAAAACAATTGATACGTCTATTTATACAGAAAATTTAACCATCCAAAAGTCATCTGTACAACCATGAAAAATTGCTTATAAAATGAAAAATGCCAGAGAAAGCATCACAATTAATTTCAAGTCTAGCCTTCCATCACCTAGTACACCACAAAGCACTGCTGGGTTGAATGACAGTTTCTCTCAGTTCACAAGTGTAACAGAATCCCACCATTGTCACCAGTAA